CGAAGGAGGAGAGAGAGAGAAGGACAGTCGACATCTCATCCAGGCTGTAACATAACTCTGGGCTGCTGCTTCTGTTCGAGATCAGCTACTACTACTACTACTACTACTAATTACTTAATAATAATAAAATAATAATAATAATAATAATAATAATAATTTTACTCTATTGTTCATGTTTTATATCAGTTAATTTTAATGCCATTAATAGCATACTCAGGAATTTTTAATGTTATTACAATTGATGTTTACTGTGATGACATCTGTGATATATTGTTTTATAAAGTGGATCACTAGAAGAATCTCCACTCCATCTTCTTTTATCTAACGATTAACCACCTTAACACTATTTGGGGATTAGGTTAGGTTGTTAGGTGGTTAATCTTTAGGTGAAATAACTCGTGTCTAGATTCTTTAAGTCACCCTCTTATTTTGGGGGGACTGCGCCCTTCCCCGTCAACCCTACTCCAGTCCCTATATTTACAGTGTATGTGTGTGTGTGTCACACATCACCCAGTCATAGATTATCCTCCACCACCTGCAATCCTCACTCCCGTCAGTCCTCCAGTTACTTGACCAATCCCTCCACATAATCCTGCCACGACAGAGCTTAACTAATCATTGTTGTTCTGCAGGTAAGCCGGATGGAGACGAACACAAAAATGTATGTAGCCGGATAGCTGGAGGTCCGGCAGCTGTACATATAAAGGATTACTGTTGATACTGAGGGTCCGTGGTGGTTGTCCTTGTTCTGCTGCTCACGGAGAGGCAGAAGTACAGCATACACTCCGCCACACACACACACACACACACACACACACACACACACACACATAAGAACATAATAACATAAGAATGGAGAAACTGCAGGGCCTATTATTCATACTGCAGTCCCAGTCCCCTTAAAACAGGTGTAGTACCAGAATCCTGGAGGATAGCGAATTTAATACCGATTTTCAAGAAGGGATATATCACTATCCTCTAACTACCGCCCAATCAGTCTAACATCAATAGTAGGCAAATTACTGGAAGCAATCATTTCAAACTCTATTCGAAATCACCCTGGAGAAGCACCGATTGATCAATGATTCCCAACATGGCTTCACAAGCGGACGTTCATGTCTAACTAATCTATTAACATTCTTTTCATCAGTTTAAGAATCGGTGGACGAGGCACAATTATGATGTGGTAATCTCGACTTTAGCAAAGCCTTCGACAGAGTCCCCGAAAGACTAATTAGAAGGTAAAGCACATGGTATCAAAAGTAATATCCTTAAATGGATTAGGGCGTGGTTACAGGACAGGAAACAGCCAGTGAGCATTAATGGCACTAAGCTCATTAGACAACGTCACAAGTGGAGTTCCCCAAGGCTCAGTACTTGGACCATTATTATTTATTATATACATAAACGACATAGATATCGGCATAGACAGCAACATAAGCAAATTTGCTGATGACACTAAAATAGGCGTTATTAAATCTGACGAGGACTCATAAAACTACAGGAAGATCTAAACAAATTTTTCGAATGGTCTGAAAAATAGCAGATGAAATTCAACATGGACAAATGTAAAGCACTCAGTATAGGAGATGTAAACAGAAACCAGATACCAGATGAACAACTATGCCATAGAAATCCGACTGCGAGAGAGATTTTGAATAATGATAAGTGGGAATTAAGCCAAGTAAACAATGTCTTTTGCTCGTAACAAGGCTAATAAAGTACTTGGGTTCATACAAAGTGTGAGTTACAAGACTAGCTATGTCATCCTAAAACTGTATCTTGCTCTTGTGAGACCACACCTGGATTACGCAGTTCAGTTCTGGTCACCGTATTACAGAATGGATATAGAATCCTTGGAAAGAATTCAGAGGAGAATGACAAGACTAATCCCGGGCATAGGAACCTTGAGTATAGAGACAGGTTAAAAGCATCTTAATTTGCACTCCTGGATAGACGTAGAGCGAGGGCGACCTGATAGAGGTGTATAAATGGAAGTCAGGGTTAAACAACGGAGACATTACAAAGGTACTCAAACTAACCAACCAGGAGCGACTCATAACAATGATTTTAAATTAGACAAATTTAGATTTCGGCGTGAAGTGGTAAACACTGGTTTGAAACAGAGTAGTGGATGAATGGAACAAGTTACAAATATCATCATTAACTCGAATACGCTGAAAGCTTCAAACATAGGTTGGATGCTTATATGAGCAATAGGTTGGGTGTAAACAGGACTGCAGTATGAATAATGGCCCGCTGCAGTTTCCTCCATTCTTATGTTCTTATTTTAACCCCAATTGCTCATATAAGCATCCAACTGTTTCAAACCAGTGTTGAAATATAACAGCGCGTATCGTATACCCTGGCCAAGGTACATAAAACAGCCCGCCCACTTGCACCCTCAACGTATTATAAACTCACAAATTCCTGGGCATGAGTTTTGATTGGCTGGTGCAGGTGTGTGAGGAAGAACGAAAGTGTCGGTGTGGTCAGATACACTCACAGCTGTGTGCAGTTGAGCAGGTTCGGACCGCTGTAATAATAATACCCTCAGTGTTTTTACTCAACACATTGAACCAAGGGTGTGAATGAACCAACCTGTGACATAAATGTGTGTGAGTAATAAAACTGATAATGATAATGATTTACGGCTTATTTCTGATAATAGGGTATATATGTAATTGGACCCTCGGTGTACAGGAGACAAAGTGTATTACGTAAGACTGTACTAGCGTGGTGAAGACACTAGTGGTAAAGATAGTTTTTAGATATGTAATCACTGAAATATCTTTAACTAAACATAAGACTATACTTAGGCCATTATATATTGATAAGTTGTTGTTGTTATTGTTAATACGTTCATCTTATTTATCAATCCAAGCATTAATAGCGTCACAAAAGTATAAGGTTCACATAATCAATAATTCTGTCAGCCGTCATATGTAGGTACAAAAAATTATATAAGCTGGACTGTACAGATTTTCAGATTTGCCCCAAGGGGGCTAGTTTATTGGGCACCCTTACATCCTGTGCAAGGTGAAGCCAGAAGCGTTTACAGCGCTCATCTGGGAAGTATGCAAAGTTCATACTTGCCTTTATGACTCTTACATTAAGTACGTAAAGCCTGAAGGGTCATAGGTTTTTCAAGTTACATAAAAGTGAGAGAATGATGAGTGTGTGGGGTAAAGTTCCGGTACATTTCATCTGTTTATACAAAGCGTGGCAGGTCCCTAATAATGTCAAGTGCCAGGCCTGTGACTAGGAGGACGGATAACTGGACTGTACTCTCTCTCTCATATATCTGCAACAGGAATATAATGGCAATAATAATAAAAAATAATAATAATAAAGAGGCATTACAACAGTGACCAGAAAAAGTAACACCGAACAACAAATGCGACCAAACAATAATTGGGTGAAAATTACACTGCTATAATTAACGAGCTGGAAGACTGAAGACCCTCAATAAATTGCGTGAACTATAGGAAGTGTGTGTGTGTGTGTGTGTGAAGGATCTCACTGCTGATAACGTCGCTTATTGTTCTTTCTTCCCCTACACCCAACACACCCACCCACCCCTCCACCACACCCAGCACCACATCTTACAAATTTCGTGACGTAAATGGGCATTGAGTTTGCATTGATCGCCTGGTATACTTGTGCATGTATCACCAATTCTAGGGCAGCTGTGTGTGTGTGTGTGTGTGTGTGTGTGTGTGTGTGTGTGTGTGTGTGTGTGTGTGTGTGAACAGTTACTAAACTTCCTCGCCACTCTATATGTCTTGTTTCTTTGTATTAGCCCTGTCTAATAGACAGTAGTATTTATATATAAATGTAGGGTACACAAGTGTAGCTGGTGTAGGAGGTGACACAAGTTATGGCTGGTGTAGGAGGTGACACAAGTGTAGCTGGTGTAGGAGGTGACACAAGTGTAGCTGGTGTGGGAGGTGACCTGAGGTGTAGCTGGTGTGGGAGGTGACACAAGTGTAGCTGTTGTAGGAGGTGCAAGTGTAGCTGGTGTGGAGGTGACACAAGTGTAGCTGGTGTGGGA